TCCCACTGCCTCCCTAATGTTGAGAATACATGTGTGCCACCACACTGGCCCAGGTTTGGCTATTTTACCCTATTCTACTAATTGGAGAAAGAATTCTTATACCAGAGACATTTCAAGGAGTTTTCAGAAAGAGAAATTTTCTTGAGAAAAAAAATGCATTTAATATTTTGATTATCTGTCTAGAATATTGCACATTGCATTAGTGTAATTATTATTGTCCCTCATCAGTAGTCTCCCACTGGTTAATCTGTTGGTTTTCTTCTGTGAATCTTAGATCCCACCCAATGTTTTGTTTAAAATATTACTTTCCTTAAAAACATATTGTGATCTGATGGGCAAGTCATTATTAAAAATTACTCTGAGAACTGGGTGTGGTAGCATACATGCCTACTATCCTAGGGTGCAGGAAAGCTAAGGCAGGAAAATCAAAAGTTCAAGGTCAGGGGCTAGGGAGCTGGTAAGAGGGCTGCATAAACATAAGGACCTGAGTTCAAGTCTCCAACACCTACATTAAATAAACAAATGAACTTGGAACATTCGCAATTATAGCATGTTTGTGTGTATATGTGACTGGGAGTTGGGGGTGGGTGGTGGGTAGTAGAGGCAGGAAGATTGCTAGGGCTTGCTAGCCAGCTGGCCTAGCCAATCAACAGTGAGCTCCAGGGCAGTGAGAAACCTTGACTCAAGGGAATAGAACAGAAAGTGGTAGAGCCCCCAACATCCTCCTTAATCTTGATATGCATGTGTCTGGACACCACATGTGCATATACCACACACACACACACACACACACACAACCACACACACACAGCCAGCCTAGATGATATAGTGAGACCCTGTCTCAAAAACTCTGAGTGCCTTTTGTTGGCCCCTTCCCTGACGTTAAGTTAGAGACTAGAATGACAAGCCAGAAACCAGGCTTGCGATGCAGGGAAGCTGACTCACTGCAGCGAGGGCGAACGTGGGGTGCTGGCATGGCTCACACTGAGAGTGACTCTCTGGGTGTGATTCCACAGCTGTAGGACAGAAAGCATTATTAACTAGAGTCGTGTCGGTAGACTCACTAGCGTTTTGATCATCTCATGGGAGCGATACCACGTGTGCCTTTCTCACTGATCGTGTGGGTCCACGCCTACTCAGTGCCAGCATTTGATGAATGAGGATTGTGTGCACGTGGAGATTCCATGTCAGATTCAGGCATGTGAGCCTCACCTAGAGATGAAAAGGACTGTGACTTACCAGAGCCTCTCCCAGGGCATCACTCAGTAGCTGACTGGGACTTCTAAATGTAACAAGTTCTAAGAAACCCCAAGGTCTGAGGATTGACCTACATGTATCTGCCACCCAGGGAGCCAACACACTCAAAGGCATAGTGCTTCCAATATGGTCCTTGACTTGTTGATCTCAACCCATTCGACTGGAAACTTCATGAGGCAAACATCACTTCTAAATGTTCATCATTTTATACCCTGCTCTCAGCACAGTGTTAAAAATAAAGGGGTTTTCTAGATGACATTGGCTTGACCTGAGTCCGTACCAAATGACATGGCCCTTTCCTGACACGCAACAATACAAAAAACCTTCTGGTGATCTACCTTAACTCCATATGATAATCTAAAATGAAAACTCCCGGTTCTCAGTCAGAGCCAAACACTGGTTACCTCAGCTATGTAGTTCCTATCATGAAGTCTAAGTTATTTCAGTCCTTTCACAAAAAAAGCTAAAAATTATAAGAAATATATATCGAAAAATCTTTAAAACTATTAAAATTCTGAGATAATAATATAAAATTATAGATCATCAGAAAGCAACTTGGGCAGGAGAAGCACTTAGCAGTTAGAATATATTCTGCTCTTGGAGAAGTCCTGAGTTTTGGTTCCCAGCACCCACTTCAGGGGGCTCACAAGTGCCAGAATTCCTGGCTTCAGGGGGTCTCAGACACATACATATAGTTAAAAATAAACATAAAATCTATAAAACAGGAAAACTAGAATCATAAAAACATAAAAACATTGCGTGATGGTATTTGCCAATCTCCCCCAGCCTCGAGCTTTGCAATGACCTTCTGAAGATAAGGAGTCAGAAATATACACACAATAAATAAATGAATGAGATAAAAAGCCCAAGAGAAATCAAGTGAGACATCTAGAAAGTGAGAGAAAAGACTAGAATTCCCCTGTGAGAATAAAGTATAACAATTCAGAGATGCGGGCTTGAAGGAGTCCTCCAAGCTCAAGGTAAAACGAGCGGGGAATGCACCTCCACCAAAGGAGAGACCCTGCGGACACCTGCAACCCCGGATGAGCGGTCGGGACCCAGGCTTTGCTGAAAGCAGCTGTTATTAGTGTGGCTTTGCTCATGGCCCAGTGTGCTCATTATAGCAATTCACACTTACAGATGAAACGCATACCAGGAAGCTTCTTTACACTCCATGGCTATGCCAGCTTTGTAACCAGCAGCTCACACCTGCCTGTCGCACCAGCTCCAGGGGATCCGAAGCCTCCTCTGACCTCCAAGAGCACCCACAGCCACGCATACACTCATTCTCTCCCTCACACACACACAAGCGCACATAGATAGAAATAAAAAACACATCTTAAAAAGAATAGTTCCCTAAAGGTCTTAGCATCTTTGAACCATTCATCAACTACCAAAACAGTGATGTCACTATATGAAAAGAGAAGCTATATTTTTTTTCAGGACAGGGGTTTCTCTAACAGTCCTGTCTGTTCTAGAACTCTCTTTATGAACTAGGCTGGCCTCCAATTCACAGAGATCCACCTGCCTCTGCCTTTCGAGTGCTGGGACTGAAGATGTGCCCCTACACCTGGTGAAAAGGAAAGCTTAATAACAATAGGAAGGGTTCCTGAGACTGAAAACTACAGACATGATGACAAAATGGCTCTTGGGAGGCAGAAGCAGGTGCATCTCTGAGTTCAAGGCCAACCTGGCCTACAGACGTGACAGCCAGGGCTACACAGAGAAACCCTCCCTTAAAAATCAACAACAACAACAACAACAACGAAAGAAAGAAAGAAAGAAAGAAAGAAAGAAAGAAAGAAAGAAAATAACAAAAGGAAACAAAAGCCAAGAGCTGCTAGGAAATGCTCTCATGACACCATGGTTGAAGGTCTTAGAAGGCAGCAGCCACAGTGACTCTGTGACAGGAACACCTACTGAAAGATGACTAAGCATCTATCATAGACAGACAGGCAATCTCCGGTTCAGCACAGGCGACCCAGGGCCCAGTTACATTGAACTTGACCCTTCCTATTGCCTGTCTTGGCTCTGGGCTTACCTTCCTTGGCATATTTTAGATAGAGGTTCCTTACTTTCTCAGTACCATCTACTTTCTGTCTTTCTGAAAATGACTTAATTGCAGGCCTTCCAATAATACTTCTCTAAAGGATCTTTAAAAGACTTTATTTATTTGTGTGTGTGGGTATTTTGCCCGCATGCATGTATGTGTACTGCACACATGCCTAGTAGCCTTGAAGACCAAAAGATCCCCTGGGATTGGAGTTACAAACTGTTCTGAGCCACACTGTAGGTGCTGGCACTGAACCCAGGTCCTCTGCAAGAGCAGCAAGTGCTTGTAAACACTGAATCATCTCTCCAGCCTTGAGTGGGATTTTTAAATTCTACTTCCTGCATTCTGTCTTAGAGGTCTAAGGTCAAAAGGGAGGTAGATCTCTGACCTCCACGCTATACCACCATTCTTCTGCTTTTTCCCCCCAAGACAGGGCCTTGTTATGTATCCAAGGTTAGCTTTGAACTTGTGGCAGTCCTGTGTCAGTCTCGTGAGTGCTCAGATTATAGGCACGCACCACCAAGCTAGCTCTGCTTTTTATATTATTTCTTCTGTGAGTCTGACGAATAAGAACTCTCCAGAGAGAGCTGGGAGATGTCTCAAAGAGCTGGCTGCGTGAGCATAGGATGCGAGTTCCCCAGCACGTATGCATGAACCCAGGTGTGGTAGCACACGCCTACAACCTCAGCACTGGGGAAGTAGAGACAGGTTGGGCTCACTGGCCGGCCAGCCTAGTCTAACTGGCAAACTCTAGGCCAATGAAAGACCCTATCTCAAAACACAAGGGGACAGCAATTGAGGAACAGTACCTAAGGTTGACTTCTGTCCCATACACACATACACACATATGCATGCATACCTACACATAGACTTTTGCATGCCCCATGCACACACACATCTTCGGACACTAGCCGCAGAAAATGCATTTTTGAATGTACAAGGTGGGAAGCGAAAAGCCCTATTAGTGAAAACACCAGCTTAAAACCTCAGCTCTCAGCAAGTTACTTAATGGCTCGGTCTTAGTTCCTCCCTCTGTGAAGTGGCCATCTGAACAATCCCTATGTGTACTTCCATGAGGGCTGTGAAGACTGTGAACGCATGGTAACAACAAATGCTACAAGTAAGAAAGACGGGATAGGGCTGGAGAGATGGCTCAGCTGTTAAGAGCATTGCCTGTTCTTCCAAAGGTCCTGAGTTCAATTCCCAGCAACCACATGGTGGCTCACAACCATCTGTAATGGGGTCTGGTGCCCTCTTCTGGCCTGCAGGCATACATGTAGACAGAATATTGTATACATAATAAATAAATAATTTAAAAAAAAAAAAGAAAGAAATACGGGATATCACTGCTGACATACGGCCCCTGGTCACAAAGAGACGAGTTTTAATTTTCTCAGGAAACTTGGCCTGGAAGACATCAGTTTAAAAAGTCTCATTTAGGGACTTCCTATCTGCAATGCAGTGTGAATGCCACAGTGGCAGAGAGGGGTGCTGTGTCAAAACTACACACGGCTTCTCTATGTGAGCAGTAAGTGAAGTCAGGGGACATAGTGGTCACAGATGCAGAATGAGGAACTGGGTGATGAGTTCACACATAAATCGCTGGGTGAACCAGGATGTTTTTGACATCACGAGGTCCTCCCTGAGCCTCGGTTCAGGAACCAGGGTCACACTGTTTCCTGTAACTTACCTCTTAGCTGCTGGAGCTCCTGGCTCAGACTCTGAATGGTGCTCTCATAGAACTTGAGATTCTCCAAAGTCTCTGCCCTCAGAGATTCATCCTGCTCGTCCTCCAACATCACGGTCAGCTCCTCCTGAGCCCTGGCGTACTCGTCCAAGTCGTGTTCCACGGCCTGAATTCTCACCAGCACAGAAGGGCAAGGAGAAGTCTGGGCTGGGCTCTGCTCCTCGTGCTCAGGCCCCTCCTTCTCTGGGGCCTCCCAACTGGCACAGAAGGTGGGCTTGGGGGAAGCTGAGTTCAGCCTCTGCTGCGCAGAAGGAGGCAGGGGAGCTGGGCGGGAGGGCCGCACAGCCAAGGGGGGTGCTGGTTTGGAGCTCTGATCAACCAGCAAGTGGGAAGAAGTGGACGTCGGGGTACAGGGTCTGGGCGGGGGCGGCCTCAGGGCCTTTCTCTTCTCTGGGGGATCCTGTGATGGCGCCGACTTTGAGGAACCTCTGACAATATCCTTCTCAGAGTTAAAGTCCATGATTGAAAAGCGGCGGATGATTTTATCTGACTCTGTGCTGGGCCCAAACAGGCTCTTCTCAAACTCGATCAGCTGCTGGGTCAACTTGGAATCCAGGTCAATGCTGTCCCCCTGTGATGCTGTGGTTACTTCTGTGGCGGACCCCTTGTCTGGTGGTCCAGGCCTCCTCTCTGGTCTCTCTGGTGCTGAGGCATTTTCTGCAGATGGTTGATGCTTCTGAGCACAGCTGGCTAGAGCCCGAGGGCTTAAGTAGCTAGGTTTGGCTATCCTAGAGGCCACGAGGGAGGAGGCCCTGTGGAGTGGGGGTGCTGGCTTCTGGAGGGACCTACCCTGGGCATATGTTCTTTGGGGAGGCAGGCTAGAGTAGTCCCTAGTCCTGGCTACAGGAGGGACAAACTCAGAGAATGGGCCTGAGCTTTGGCGGCTCTCTCCTGCTGGAGAAGAAAACTGACTTTTCTGCATTTGGGGGTGAAAAGGTCCCCGAGGCTGGGAATAAATGCCATTGACTGTCTCTGAGGGGTCAGGTGTGGAAGGGTCTTTAATAAGAGGCCTATCAAGATCCACACCTGGTCAGCTTCCTGAGGCATCATCACCCTGGCCAGAGTTCTCATTTACAACACCCACAGGGACCCCATGACCTAGGCGAGCCGGGGTTTGTTCAGACAGACCCCAGTCAGGCCTGTCTGCTCCAGTCTCCTGTGGTTCGAGTCGTGCCTCCTCCACCACTGAGGTCTCCAACCCGTCCACAGGGTTTTCAGAGTTCTTAGGGAGACTGTCTTCCGGGGGCAGAACCACGGTTTCCTCTGTCCTGGTGCCGGGACAAAGCTTCACAAAGCGGTGGGGAAAGATACCTGTCCTGCCCTTCAAACGTCCTTCAAGCCATCCATCCTCCAAGGTTCCCAGAATCTGGATTTTATCCCCAACCTCAAAATCCAACTCATTGGGCTCCAGGGCTTGGAATCTGTAGAGGGCAAGTCCATAGGTCCCCGAAGGGCGGTCATCCTCGTCGGCCCCACTTTCTGTGTCTTCCGTAGAGATGTCCACATCACCATTGGCAACGCAGCTGTCTCCACCTCCAGAATTTACCGACTCATCCACAGTCCTCAGGGGCCCCAAAAGCTCTACAAAGCCTTCTGGGAAAATGCCTCTCCGCCCCTCCAGCTCTCCCTCAAACCAGCCTGGCTCAGGAACTCCGATAATGGTAATCAGATCTCCTTCTCTGAAGTCCAGTTCCTCGTCCAGCTGGGCAGACAGCCCCATGAGGGCCCGTGCTTGTCCCATGGAGTATTCTGGAATCTGAAGCGATGCGCTCTGTGAGTGCCACTGTCGGCTCTGAGAGGACAGACACAGCTCACGAACACAGGACGATGGGAAGAAGCCCCGAGCACCCCAACAGCTTCGGCCCTGCAGCCATCCTGCAGTCGGAGCGCCATCAAGAACCACCAGGTCTCCTGGGAAAGAAGCAGAAGTCAGAGCCTTGACCAGAACCCCAGGAAATAACACCATGGCCAACAGACAGGACTGTACTGTGCAGCCCAGGCTTCCACTACAGTTCTCATGCCTCGGCCTGAGCTAGGCTTGCATGTATGCTCATGAAAATGTTCTCCTCCTACCACGTGAGGCCTGAAGACAGAATTAGGAGGTTGGGCTTGGCAGGAAGTACTTTCACCTGCTCAGCCACCTCGCTGGCCCTATAGATCTTAAAAAGAATTCCAGGGACCTGCTCTTTTGTTGCCGCAAATAACCAGGACTTCGGGTTATCGTCACAAAATATAAACCAAAAAGTCACATTGGTCTTAGTGTTTAGATTCAGCACAATTTAAAAACACATTCTATAATTCCATAATCAATTGCTTTATAACAAATGCTTGATTATATAATTATGGATATTCATTTTGTGGATTACTAATTTTAATCTTGCGTTTAGCTCCCCCCACCCAGGTCTGTGCAGGGATACAGAACGGGGGCAAATAGTAAGAAAGAGACAGCAGCGCATGGTTTCCAGGCAAATACTTTGGAGAAGGGCTATCTATTATGTTCTTGATTACTTTTATTTTGTATGTAGTGGTGTTTGCCTGCAGGTATGTCTATGCACCAGGTACATGCGGTGCCTGAGAAGAACAGAAGAAGGAATCAGATCCCTTGGAACTAGAATTCTAGGTGGCCGTGGGTCACTGTGAAGGCACTGGGAACAGAACCTGGGTCCTCTGCAAGAGCACTCAGCACTCAACTTCTCGGCCTGGTGCCTGACTTTTAAAAAGATTGTGAGCCCTATCTTCCCAAGTGTTTGCAAGTGATTTAGGGATGGGTGCACGTCTCTTCTGTATCTTAAGATCTCTGAGGTCTTGCCTTTTGCAGAGTGAACACTCAGTATCCATTTGTTAATAATGACTGTTCTTTAGCTTCAGCTCCAAATTCATATTCTCCTGTATCTAAAATTGGCTCCCATTGATAACTTCCTTGTTCCCTCTAATTTCCTTTTCCAAAACATTTCTTCCATTTATTACTTCTCTTTGCTAATAACCTAGCAAAATTTAATTCCCACTGTCTTTCCCTTAGAATTTTCTTCCAGCCCATCAAATGATTATAAATGTGCCAATCTTACTGCATCCTCTTTAAAACTTCAGTCACGAGGCACGATGGCCTGCTGCTCACCAAGTTCTTTCCTAGTAACTCTTCTCTGTTTTCTGAGATAGGGTCTCACTCTGGAACACAGGCTGGCCTGAAACTTGGCACAATTCTCCTGCCTCAGACTCCCATGTGCTGGGAACAATCCCTTTCTTATTGTCTGAGTTCAGTACAACATGCTTGTTCTGCATACACTCAGAAGTTAAATGGCCTTTAACAATAGGCCATTTGTTTTCTCTTCATTCAAGCTTGTGCTCAATTTTATCCATTCACAACCTCTCTGTTCTCCAACCATCCATCATGATCTCACCTATGATATGAGATCCTGGGAAATCTCACACAAGGGAATTTTCTTTTTCCTTTCTTTCTTTTTTCACTTTGTTTGCTTTTGAGACAGGGTCTCACGATGTATCTCAGACTGGCTTCAAACTTGCAACCCTCCAGGCTCAGCCTTCTAAGCGCTCGTATTAAGATGTACCCCGTACCACCACATCCTGCCCAATTCCAAATCTTTACTATTTCTTCTTGTGGAGTATTATTTTAAGGTGTGTTGCTTTTGTTTATGTTGTATTTGTTTAACTCTGTGAAGCTGTAATTATTTGCCTATCTAAAACACCTGATGGTCCTAATAAAGAGCTGAACGGCCAATAGCGAGGCAGGAGCAAGGATAGGCAGGGTTGGCAGGCAGAGAGGAGAAATGAAAGGAAAACTGCAGAGAGGAGGAGGACCTCAGGGGCCAGCCGTGCAGCCAGCCATGGAGTAAGAGTGGAAGGAAGATTCACAGAAGTAAGGAAAGGGAAAAGCCCAGAGGCAAAAGGTGGGGGGGGGGAGAATTTAAGTTAGAAAAGCTGGCTAGAAACAAGCCAAGCTAAGGCCGGGCATTCACAAGATGTCTCCGTCGTGTATTTATTTGGGAGCTGGGTGGCGGGCCCCTCAAAGAGTAAAAGAGTAAAAAACAATAATTTCTCCTCTCTCTCCATCTGAAACCTTAGAAGGTTTCCTTAGAAAAATCTTAGGAGCTCACATCAGCTACCAAAGAACCAAAGAATTCCACTTCTCTCTTCAGTCCTGGCATCTGTATGTTGGCACAGTGCATGGCACATAACATACCATTTTAGACTTCGTGGCAGACACACCATATATTTCCTGACTTGACTTTATTGCACTTAGAGTTTTATTTAGAGACACCTAAAAATGCTCCCATATTCCTGTAGTCCTTAACTTTTGAACCCACATGCACTGGGCAAAGCTTTGGGTCCTGAGAATGACAAGTGCCCCCTCCCCCAGTGGCTCAAGGCCTGCCAGACTGCTCAGACACAATGGGCCTCTTGGTGAATAGGAAAATCAAAGCATGCCACAAGTCCCACTCCGCTCGCTCTGAAATGCCTCGTTCACGTCAGGCTGCAGAACGACAGCGCTGTCGGTCTGGCCAGCGCTCACGAACTGGACAATAGGGCTTGTTTTCCTGTCTATTCCAACCGCGGTTTTGATGGGCTTTGTTTCCGGACAGACCGTAGCTCTGCTGCTTATTCATCGACCATAAAGGAGTTCTCAGGACAAAACAAGACACACACAAATTCCATGGCACTCTAATTCAACACCCCCCCTTGCATTTTTTGATTTTGTCATTTGTTTCTCCCCTTACTTGGTGACTACCTTTATTTTATAGGCCTAACTGTCCCTGGGGTGGGTCTGTTGTTGTGGTTTCTCGGGTTTTTGTTATCAAAAAATCTCTTATTTAAAATAGTCAAGCAAGCTATCTCCCTGGAGTCCTGAGTTATTCTTTAGAATGGAGGCTACCCAGCAGTTCTAGACTTCAGAAACACCAACATAAAGAATTCCTGGAATGGTGGGGCCAGGTTTGGGAACAGGAAAGAAGAAACTGCAGTGACCCTTGGGGTCAAATGTGACTACTCCCAGCCATACTGCTTGTTTCTTTGGATGGAATTTTTCTTCGAACAGGAAGTGGATTGGAAGTGAGATTACAGGAAGGAATGCAGGTCTTGTTAGACTCTGACACGAGCAAGCAGTCTAGCTCTGCAGGGTTCGCTCCCCCCCTTGACTCCACTCCTGGCACTGGCGGCCCCGGGGGACTGTGCTTTGTGCAGATCATGTATTTTCTTTTGGTTCCTTATACTAACACCTCATCCCATGGCATTGAAATTTAATGTGTGTCAACTGATAAAGATCAGAGACTTATTTATAAATTATCATTTATGCTATTGGCCTTTTGAGAGGAGGTTGCCTAGAAGTGCTAGGTGTAGACAGCCATAAGCACTATGTGTTATACGAGGATGATGGGTGACATCCCATAATATACAGTCCTTTCTTGCTTGCTCTTAATCTCCTGATCTTTTTGTATTTCCCTTGACATATTCTTTTCCTTTTCTTCCTTCCTTCCTTTCCCATTTTCTCTTCACTTTTTGTTTCTCTCTCTCTCTCTTTTTTCTTTGATAGTTGGTGACTCCAGCCACTAATTCTGACTCTTCTAGAAGACAGATTTGTTTCTGAACCCATAACACAAAAGTCCAAACCAATTGGGTGGCTTCAGGAAAGGGGGGAAGGGTGACACCTGCTGGAAGAATTACTGATGACTCCACTTCTAGGTAGACTCTCTGGGGAAACATCTGCTCATACCAGCTTCGTAGAAGGGAAGGCACAGCAGGGCCTCGGGAACTTCAGAGTGCCTCTCCTGCCTGGTTTACATTATAACCTCATTGGTCCTAACAGCTACCCCGGAGATGTGGCTCAGTGAAGATTGCTTCTGTGTCTACTGTGCTCCCAGCCAGGTTCAGCCTCCAACACTGAAACAAACACTGCTCACATCCTGTGTGTGGCTCACAGAGACACCGACAGGCTCTTGTCCTTCTCCCCTCCTACCTGGGGAGACCTGCCCTGGACTCGAGACCACCTTGAGACAGCTGTGAGTGAGGACAAAGATCCTGCTATAAGCTCCAGTCTAGTTGCACTGTCTTCCCAACCCTGGATAGCAAGAAGTCTACAAACCAGAGGGAAAGGCAAAGACTAACATGCAAGAAACTCCCAAGACAGGTCTTAAGGATGAACATCAAGAAAAAAAAAATCCAATATTCTTTTCCTCTCACTGACTAGAGGCTACAGAAGTTTGCTAGGTCCGGTTCCCCACCACGTGTGCATGTGTACGTGTGTGCGTGCATGTGTATGTGTGTTTATGTGTGTGTGTGTGTGTAAGAATTAAGCTTGTGTCTTCAGCATCATACTAAAAGAACAGTTAAAATACAAACAATACAACTTGTAAGCTCTATTGTGATATGTTGACTGGGACATCACAAAACTGGGTGGGTCACAAGCCTCAGGCTGCAGCACTATTGGTCCGTCTCTGTGTTTATGTCAAAGGGCGTGGGCTTAACCAGGTGGACCTGTGGAAAAGATTTCCTATCTATCTTTGGAAGTCCGTGCCTGTTAGAGCGGAGTATCCTGGGGATGTGCTAGCGCCATCTGTTTAAACTGGTCCCTTTTAAACTGGTTCTCACGAGAACTTTTACACTGCCCAATGGAGGCACAGAAGCCGGGCGGTGGTGGTGCACGCCTTTAATCCCAACACTCGGGGGAGGCAGAGGCAGGCGGATCTCTGTGAGTTCGAGGCCATCCTGGTCTACAAGAGCTAGTTCCAGGACAGGCTCCAAAGCCACAGAGAAACCCTGTCTCGAAAAACCAAAAGAAACAAACAAACAAACAAACAAACAAAAAAAAACAATGGAGGCACAGAAATGGGGCGGTCTTGCATGTCTCGGTGGTCACATCAAAGTTACTGCTTCCCTATTGCATATTAGTAAGTAGCAATGTTGTCAGCAAAATCATACAAGGTAGACTTTCTGGAGAAGAGATTAGCACTGTCTAAAGTGTCCACAGCACTGGGTAGACAGAGGCAGGTGGATCACCTCTGTGAGTTTGAGGCCAACCTGACCTATATATGAAGTTCCAAGCCAGTCAGGTATATACAGTAAGAACCTGTCTCAAAAAAATTACAAGTAATCTAAATCAATAAAAGAATACCTGAGAAAATCCCATGAAAACGATCAAGCCCTACTAACACAAGGCCTTGCTCTCAGCCACATTCCATCAGTGGTGCAGAATTGAGAGAGGACTCTCCAGTGAAAACATCTCTAAATACCCTGGCTCAAGATTCTTGGATCTCTGATGCGCTCTTACCTCGATGGAGAGAAAGACTGTTCAGCTCCCGAGATGTGAATTCGCAGGTGCAAACAAACAGACTCTCCCCCTCCTTCAGACTGGGGATTGTCACAACCTCCACAAAACTGCTGGGAAACTGTCCTGAAAGACAGACGCACACATGTTAAACACTGAGTGCTCTTTTAATATTAAATTTTCTCTCTCTGTCTGTATACAAGAACAGCTTCTTTCTGAGTTCATTTACCAGTTCTGAATTAAAATTGACCTAATGCTAATAATTAGAGAATTTACTATAGAAGTGCATAGCACAAATGAGATGTATACAGAGGACAGAGAATATAATTAAAAAGCATTTATTAGGCCAGTGAGAGGGTTCAGCGGGTAAAGGCTCTACTGCTGTGCTTGACAACCTGAGTCAGACTCCCAGGTCCCTACGGGACAAGGAGAGAAATGAATCCTGCAAGCTGTCCTGTGCTTTCCACATACACACAATACCTAAGTAAGCGTTAACCACTGGCACTCTAGCAGGTTCACTGAAGAGGGAAATGTGAGTGGGGTGGTCTAGGTCTTCAGAGATCTGAAAATCTACTTAAACAAAAAAGATAATGGAATCCTGAAACCCAAATCACACCAGCTACACACTAGGCCAAGGAGGTTCAGACGAGGCTGGAAGGAACACAGGTGGGTTTTTTGTTTGTTTGTTTTGTTCTTTTTTTTTTTTTTTTGCTTTTTTTGTTTTTCTCTGTAGCTTTGGAGTCTGTCCTGGAACTCAGACCAGGCTGGCCTTGAACTCACAGAGATCTGCCTGTCTCTGCCTCCCGAGTGCTGGGATTAAAGGCGTGTGCCACCACCACTGCCCAGCTTGAACACAAGATTTTTATGAAGCAGAGCAGTTCAGTCTGAGATGGGTAGAGTTTTAGAGGTGGTGTAGGAAGACAGGGCCTGACAGCTGGAGGAGAACAACAGATGTTTCCCGAATCTGCCCACATATCTCCAAGTGCTGGGATTAAAGGCATGCGCCACCAGGGCTCAGCCTATCATTCTTTTTAATTATTGCTTTATTGTGTGTGTGTGTTTTGTCTGCATGTTTGTCTGTATACCATGTGCAGGCCAGAAGAGGGCATCGGCTTCTCTGAAACTAGAGTTAGACTGTTGCGAGTTGCTATGTGATGCTAGGAATCGAACCCAGAACCTCTGGAAGGGCAGACAGTCTCTTTAACCACCCAGCCATCTCTCCAGGCCCCCATCCCATCATTCTTAAAATAACAGCAGCAGCATTTATAAGACATAGCTCTGATGATGTCAAAAGCACCACAGTTTCTGGCCTCCTCAACTTCTTACTTCACACACTTTTGTCCTCTGGACCCCGCAGCCACTTGGTGCCCTACCCATGCTTCCTCAGTGCTCCCGTGTTCACGCACACGTCAGGGCCACTGATCAAGCAATCCTCTCTGCGAACACCCCCTCCCTGGTTTTATCTGACCAGAAACATCACTTCTACTAGACTGTAGTCTGTGAATTCCCCAAAGTTGGTAAGCGTTCCGAGCACCTACTCAGAACTACACCACACACTCCAAGCCACATGCACACAAACATGTGTAAATTAAGGACTAACTGAGTCTAACTATGTGATGTGTCATGAAAGGTCTGCCATGCCCCAGGGTAGATAATGGAAGAAACCAGGGCAACAGGAATCTCAGAAACAGAAGGAGGATAGCCAGAAGCACAAACGTGCGAGACAGGAGCATCCAGGACAGAGGGTGGCTTTAATTAACTGTTCCCAATGCAGATCTAGAAAGGACTCGCCTGAAGAGAATGGAAGATGGAGCAGGAGCTGTTGAAGGAGGAATGAGGTGGAGCATACTTAGATCCCGCTCACCAAGGCAGGCCTGCTGCCAAGAGCGATGGTAAAGGGCAAGAGTTCTGAAGAGAGGTATAAGGTACGATTTGAGGAGGAAATAAGAGCACTGGACATGAAAGACAGAGCATTGAGAAGGGAAGGGAAAGGCAGGCAGAAAAACTAGGCTGGGGCAGAAGTGTCCACCCATCCAGCCTCCACAAGGAATCAATATGGAGAGATGGGCAATGGTAGAAACTCTCCTCACAGGCCAGAGCAATGGTGAGCACAGAAGGAAGACATGGCAGAAGGGCAGTTACTCACTTGGGCTTCCCATTTGGCTTTACCTTTAATATGCAAAGAAGCGAGGGGCCGTGTGTGGAAGGAGTATCTCTTACCTGTAACATCTTCCTTCTTTCCCAGAAGCCAAAACTCATCCACCACGGCCAACACCTCAATGACATCTCCCACAAAGAGCGGCAGTTCCTCTGAGACGCTAGGGCAGAAGTCAAAGATGGCTCGGACCACAGAGCCAGCCTCCATACTGCACAACCTGGAAGCCCAAAGCATGAGAAAACACAGATGTTTCAGACGCACCAGAAACCTGTTTCTTAAAAACCTAAAACTCAAATTATGAAGAAAATATAAACATGATAGAAAATATATAAAATCTAAAGTTGTTCCTTTAAAAATAATGATTTCCTCATGTATTTTAATTAGCTTCTCCTCAGTGTGAGTCTAGAATTGGAAGCAAACAACAAAATACTAAGTACTGACTCAGACCGTAGAGATAAAAGACTGGGAAGGCAGGCCTTAAAGTGCCGCGAGAGGGAGGTGAGGCTACTGACATTTTACCACGATTAAAGTTCTAGACAATGCAGTACTTTCAAAATATAGTATTTAAAAATATATATATAGTATTTAAAACCCACAGAAAAATACATTACACACAGCATGTCATCTATTTCCCATGACAATTGTGAGACCAGGATGATGGCAGTCTACACGGTTAGATAATCTAATTTGTCCAAGGACACAGTGCAGCAGGGACAGGACTCAAACACCAAGATTTAAAACCCACGGAAAAACAGAAGGAAGTCAATGAAAAGAATGAGAAAGGGCCAGAGATGGTGTCTCTAGGGGACATTTAGTACCAGCAGATCAAGCATTTGATTCTGGTTTGGAGACCCTTGTGCTCCAACCTGCACTGTTGCAGGACTACACTGCAATGCATGATGGGTCCATTGCCCTGGTGTATGGGGCTGGAGAGCTAAGAATGTGTCTACCCACTAGAAAATAAGGGCACATGAGGTATGTGTGTGTGTTCACTCGGAAAGGCTCAGCCATGATCAGACCAACATTCTCCAAATGCCTTCCCAGGGGCTGCACAGGGGGCAGCTCCAGCTCTCCAGGCTCCTCAAAGACTCATTCAGTGTTGCTGAAGGTGGAGATTTTTCTTTTTTCATCTCACATATGACTAGCCTCATCGAAAAGCACCAAGACAGGCCAGTGAGGTGGCTCAGCTGATAAAGGTGGTTGTCTCCAAGCCTGGTAAACAGAGTTTGATTCCCAGGACCTATGACAGGAGGGAGAAGCAGGGGCTGGAGGGATAGCTCAGCAGTTAAGAGTACTTACTGCTCTTCTAGGGGACAGGAGTTTGGTTGCCAGCATCCATGTCAGGTGACTCACAACTGCCTATGATTCTAGCTCATGGGAATCCAAACAAAATCCTCTTCTGGCCTCCGAGGGCAACCACATATACATGGTTCACACACACTCACACACACACGAAGTAAATAAGTATATATAAATATTTAAAAAGAACCAAATGCCTAATGGAAAGAAAGTAAGACAGCTATAACTGTGGTTTATGACTTTCACTGGTGTGAAAAAAACGAAGGAAGTATTTAATAATACTTCAGCATATTGATTTTTTTAACCATGCTCGATAATTAAACATTACACATTTGGTCAAAGCAGCTTATTCTTGTGTCACTGGGATTTTTTCAGTAATGAGATGACTGGGCCGCAGTAAAAGGAGAAGTGGCCCCTGCACTCCTCGCCCCCTTATACCACAGGATTTCTGCTTTCGCTTTCCCTTCCATGGTGCTTTGCATAGAACCCGGGGCCTCACTCATCCCACACAAGTGTTCTACTACTGAGCATCTATTAAAACCATCTAATGAGCTGTGCCTAACTCCAGCACTCCAGGGGCAGAGAGACAAGCAGGTCTCTGTGAGCCGGATATCAGACGGCTCTATATGATGAGCTCTAGGTAAGCCAGGGCTATATAGTGAGCACCTGTTTAAAACAAACAGACAAAAAAGAAAACCAAACAAACCAAAAACCAAATCTAGTATTTATATAAATATACTTTGAAGAGATAGCATATTGTGCACGTAAAATACCAGGCTTCTGCCGTGACAGAGGGCGGCATTCAAACCCCAGCTTTACTACTTTGCCTGCACACATCACTTACTCTCAGGTCTTCCGTTTCCATGACCTGAGAGATGAAGATATTAATACGTTCACAGTGATCGTCATGAGGATGTCTACAGTGATAAAGATAAGTACAACACCTACACAGTGCTTCCTCATGCCACGCACTGTACCGTGTTCCACATCAATGAGTCCTCACAATGACGTGTGTCATCGGTTCCCATTGGGCAGATGAGGACCAGGTTCAAAGGAGTGATAAATTCTAAGGCCACACAGGAAGTCAGGGACAGAATGGGAATTCAAACGTCTGTCACCAAAGCCTCGCTGTACAAATGTGCCGAGGACATGACGGGCACTGTAGCTTCTCAATAAACATTAGTGTCTACTATAAGTCACTTCCACAATTAACGACAAGTTCAAATCTGTGCCACTGATCACCAAAGAATGTACTGTCTTCAAGCAGATAGACACTTCAATATGTCCTATTTCAACATGGTTAATTTAACTTTGACCATGTTTAAGAACAAGCACATTGGGTGGAGTGTGATGGTACATGCCCATGATTCCCAGAACTCAGGAGGCTGAGACTGGAGAACTTTGATACCTAGATCAGCCTGGACTATGCAGTCAGATCTTGTCTGAGTCTTTCTGACATCTCCCAAAGAAGACACCAAATGAACATGGCTTACTCAGACTTCCAGAAGCAAGTTCATTCCTGCAGCCATACAGCCCTGTGCTGACTTAACCATACCGCTGTCCTCAACGGTTACAAGCCCCCAGGCCTTTCTCCTGTGGTGCCAGCCTGCTCTGCTTTCAGCTCATCTCCTTCATCAGTTTCGTTTTTTTTAAATAGATTTATCTATTTTTATTTTACGCATATGGGTGTTTCGCCTATATGTGTGTCTGGCACCTATTAGAAGAGGATGTCGGATCCCCTGGAACTGGGGTTACAGACGGTTGTGAGCAGCCATGTGGTGCTGGGAACTGACACTGGGTTCTCCAGAAGAGCAGCCAGTGCTCTGAACCAGCAAATTATCTTTTCAGCCACCTCACCCTCCAATCAGTTTTTCCACTCTTTTTTAATTTTAATTTTTTTTTTTGAGACAGAGTCTTACTGTATAGCCCATGCTGGAACTTGCTATGTAGACAAGGCTGGCCTTGACGTACAGAGATCCACCTGCTTCTGCCTCCCAAATGTTGGTACTAAAGGTGCCACCATATCCAATTCAATCCACTTTCTAGTTCGCTGTTTAGAACCCATAGCATCAACATTGCTAAAAAGTCCCCAGAAAATAAAAGTCAGCCAATTCTAGAAGGCAGGCTGACTCCTGCAGAGGTAAAGGACGCACATTGGCACTGGAGGCTCCCTACAGTTCTCACGTGCTCCGAGACCCTTTTCTCATTTCTGGCTGTCTTCCAAGCATCTGAAGTCACCAGATGTCAGACTTCTGCACAAGGGTAGTGTCTAAGAATTTTTTCAAAACAAAAAACCAAGCATTTGACAAATCTCTTAACCATCTACGTTATTAAAATAAGTCCTCAGGGTTGGATCAAGATGGACATAATTTTCCGATACATTTTCTCAAAGCTCTCAGTGTCCGACTGATTGTGTAGCTCGCTCACTGAACTGTTAGGACGCAGCCTCAGACCCAGGGATTCCTTGCACTTTAGAACTGCAAGCTGATGGAGTTAGGCGTTCTTCCTGGCACCTTGTCATGCTGCTGGAAAATGACTCACTCACAGAGAACCTGGTTCAATAAAGTCTTTACTAACTGACCTCCTGCTCTGCTGGAATGAGTGTTTAATCCCAAGACACACACCCTAGAAGGGTGCAAGAGTCACAGCCTCCATGATTCATGTGTGCAAAGGTGGGGTCGACGTCTCCCACTTTACGTAGGTGATAGACTTGTCTGGAGTTGCCCCTGTCCTGTCCACACTCTGAGAAGCACCGCTCACCATCCGCACTGGGGCCATTATAGAAACCCAAGGGTACACTTCAAAGCTTAATCATTAGTGGTTTCTGTAAGCTGTTCCAACTCCAGATGGAAGTTTGCAGAAGAAACTACAGGACAGATGGGCTGAGGGAAAGCTGGGGAAATTATTGTCCAATACAGCATGGTGTCAGGGACATCCAAAAGATGCCAAACGCCACCCCTTCCTACTGCTGAACACCTGTTTCCTCCTCTGAAGAGGTGTGTGTCAAATATAGAGATCCTGGGAAAGGTGATTCTCCAAACCCTTTAGGAAGGGGAAGTCTGTGAAGGAAGAGCTTGTGTCTTTGCCTGCAGATCTGCAGCGATGCCAGCGTGGGAAAGCTTAAGTGACTGGCGGACCTGGTGGGAATATCTGAAATACTCATATCTGAGCCCACAGTTCTGCCCACCTAAAGGTAAACCAACCATCTCGGGCATAAACAGCTTCAGTCTCCAGTTTGTCTGAGTTTGACTCAGGAGTGGTGTGAGCCCTCCAAGTCGAGTATTGGTAACCTGGTTTCTTGGCTCCAAACAGCCTAAAGGATACTAAGAATAGCTACCATCTGAGTGCCCACCACGCCACATGTGCCAGGAGCCTGCACCAATCACTGCACTGTGGGCAGCAAGGCTCAAATGTCATTCTAAGAACATCCAAACTGTGTTGGAAATGGGCTAGTCCTGGAACCCAAAAAGCTTAGTTTAGCCCCTCTCACGGCCGACCCTCCCCAAACATGTTCTAAGGATGCTAATCTTGGTGAATCAAAATACAGCACAGCACAGGCATCATGAATTCAAGGACAGCTCTGGACCATAAACCTGCTCAAAGGCATGGACCACAGTTTCCGCTCGAAGGGGAACAGAACACATTAATGACCACGGCAGTCAGGCGAGAAGCTCCTTTAGTTATATGTCTTTAAACTTGTCTGGGGGCTGGAGAAATGGCTCAGCAGTTGAGACCACCTGCTGCTCTTACAGCAGACCAAAGTTAGATTCCCAGCTTCCCTGTCAGGAGGTTTACAGCCCCCATAATTCCAGATCCAGGGAATCCAACATGTTCTCCTGGCCTCTACAGACACTTATGAGAATGTATACATGCATGTGTGAATGTAAACATACATACATACACATAAGTAAATTTGGA